TATTCAACCTTAGTGGTAAAAAGTATTAATTAGAGATATATGATGTTATAGGAGGATTATAGCTCGGGGGATCGAGCACGAGTGACTTCCAGGATTCGCGAGTTATCAAGATGTACGAGGTGAGTCTTCTCACTATACTGTACCCGGAAGGGTTTAACTGTGTGACCGGAAGGTCGAATATGATATGAGAGATATGCATTATGTGTGATAATCGTTATATGTGCCATGTATGATATGCTTGATAGGGGCCGGAAGGCATTATGTTAAGGGCCGGAAGGCGAATATGTTATGGGCTGGAAGGTATTGCAATATGGATCGTAAGGTTGACGTGGGTAGGACCGGAAGGTTTCCCCAGTCGGGACGGAAGTCCCCTGAGACACACGGACCGGAAGGTCAGGGCCTGGAAAGGCGTATGTGCGTAGGCTGTATTTTGGGGAACTCACTAAGGAATTATGGTTACAGTTGTTGTGTTATGTGTTTCAGGTACTAGCGAGGACCGTGGGAAGGCGCCGGCGTGATCGTACACATTCTCGGGGAAAACTATTTTTATGATCTTTGTGATGTATTTGGTCGTGACAATATTGTTTACATTGGAATTTAAAATATTACTCGATGTTTTGATGTTTGCAAAAATCAAAATTTGGTTTTAAAATTTACGTCATTACAGTTCGGAGAGGAGTTTAGTCAGTCATGCATTCAAACATCTTCTCAAACATAAATCCCAACTACTAACTGAAACATTTACCGTTCAGATGGCTAACAGTGATAAGGAGAGCAGTAACGACATATTCGTGGGTTGTACCCTTACCCTAAACAATCATGTTTTTCCAATCGACCCCATGCTAGTTTCCATAAAAAGTTTCGATGTCATCGTCGTCATGGATTGGTTGAGCCCCAATCATGCTGATATTTGTTGCTACGAAAAAGTCGTTCATCTCAATCTTCCTTCTGGTGAAACCGAAATGGTTCATGGCGATAAACTTAGTTCAAACCTTCGTATCATTTCGTGCATCAAAGCCCAAAAACTCTTGTGAAAGGAGTGTCATGCATTCCTAGCTCATGTCGTTAACAAGAAATAGGAACTTAAAGACCTCGAGAGCATCCCCGAAGTTTGCAACTTTCCTGATGTCTTTCTTGAAGAGCTTCTGGGAATTTCTCTAGAGCGCCAAGTCGAGTTTCGCATTGACTTAATCCCCAGAGCTACCCCCATAGCTAAATCCCCATACCGCCTAGCGCCACCAGAAAGGCAAGAGCTATCCAACCAGCTCAATGATCTGCTCAGCAAATGATTCATCTGACCGAGTTCCTCACCCTGGGGAGCCCTGGTTTTATTTGTGAAAAATAAGGATGGATTTTTTCGGATGTGCATTGACTACCGTGAACTAAACAACCTCACTGTCAAAAACCGTTACCCTCTTCCTCAGATTAACGACATTTTCTACCAACTTCAAGGAGCTAGCTACTTTTCTAAGATAGATCTAAGATCAAGGTACCATCAGCTGCAAGTACACGAGAGCAATGTTCCTAAGACATCATTTCAGACTCTATATGGACACTAAGAGTTCGTAGTTATGCGCTTCGGTCTAACCAACGCACCAACGGCATTCATGGACCTGATGAATCGGGTCTGCCGTCCTTTCCTAGACAAGTTTGTGATAGTGTTCACCAATGATATACTTATCTATTCCAAAAGCAAAGAATATCACATACTTCATTTGAGATTGGTGCTGGAAACTCTAACGACGGAGAAGCTATGCACAAATTTCTCCTAGTGCGAATTCTGGATTCAAAAAGTAACCTTCCTAGGTCACGTGGTAAACGAGGAAGGAATACACGTGGACCCCTCTAAAATCAAAGCAATAGAGAACAGGTCAGCACCAAAGACGCCCACAGAAATCCGACAATTATTGGGTATCGCTAGCTATTATCGCAAATTTATCCAGAATTCCTCTAAATTTACCAAACCGCTAACCACTCTGACTTAGAACGGTGTACCCTTTTGTTGGGGTGAAATAAAGACAATGCGTTACAAATATTTAAGCAGGCCCTATGCAGCGCACCTATCCTGTAACTTCCTGAAGGGACTGAGGACTTCGTTGTCCACTGCGACGCATCTAATCAGGGATTAGGTTGTGTGCTTATACAGCGAGGAAAGGTTATTGCTTATGACTCATGACAGCTAAAAGCACACGAAGTCAACTACACAACACATGACCTATAATTGGGAGCAGTGGTCTTCGCATTGAAGATATGGAGACATTACCTTTACGGAACCAAGTGCACAATCTTCACTGACGATAAAAGCCTGCGGCTCATCTTCGACCAAAAGGACTTGAATATGAGACAACGGGGATGGGTAGAGATACGCAACGATTACGAGTGCGAAATACGCTACAATCCCGGCAAGGCCAATGTGGTAGCAGATGCCCTCAGCCAGAAAGAGTACTCAGGCCACAATGTGAAAGCACTAACCATGACTATCCATCCCCACTTATCTACACAAATCAGAGAGGCCCATCTGGAAGCCTTAAAACCAGAAAACATGTTGGGTGAAGCCTTGATGGGAATGGAAAAGAACTTAGATTTCAAGGGAGATGGATTCTATCATTTCATGAACTGGATCTGGACCCCAAAGTTCGGTTGTTACATAGAGGTTGTCATGAACGAAGCTCACAAGACTAGATACTTCGTTCATCTAGGATTGGACAAGATGTACCATGATCTCAAGAAACTGTATTGGTGGCTAAATTTGAAATTAGAAATCACTACCTTCGTGGGCAAGTGCCTGACTTATGCCAAGGTGAAGGTCGAATATCAGAAGGCCTCGGTTCTGCTCCAGCAGCCGGAGATACCAGAATGGAAGTGGGAAAGGATTACCATGGATTTTATCACCAAATTGCCCAAATCTCCAAGTGGGTATGACACCATATGGGTAATAGTCGATCGGTTGACTAAATCCGCCCACTTCGTTCTAATCAAGGAAACATTCAAAATGGAGACACTTACACGAATCTACATCCAAGAATTAGTTTGACTGCACGTTGTGCCTGTGTCCATTATCTCCGATCGAGATAGCAGGTTCACCACGAGATTTTGGCAGTCACTGCAGAAAGCTCTTGGAACTAAGCTAGATATAAGTACAACTTACCATCCTCAGACAGATGGGCAGAGTGAGAGGACTATACACACTTTGAAGACATGTTGAGAGCATGTTTCATCAACTTCGGTAAGTCGTGGGATACCCATTTGACCTTGGTTGAATTCTCCTACAACAACAGTTATCATACCAGTATCAAGGTTGCACCGTTTGAAGACCTCTATGGCTGTAAGTTCAGATCCCCTCTGTGTTGGGCTGAGGTGGGCGACACGCAGCTAGCCAGGGGACAAGTCCCTGATAGCACTCTCACTGGCCTAGAAATCATCCGTAAAACCACAGAAAAGATCATAAAAATCCAGGAACGACTAAAAGCTTCGAGATATCGACAAAATAGCTACGCCGATAAACGACAAAAGCCCTTGGAGTTCCAGGTTGGATACTTTGTTTTGTTGAATGTCTCACCCTGGAAAGCCATGATACGCTTTAGAAGGCATGGAAAGCTAAATCCAAGATATATAGTACCTTTTGAGATCCTTGCTAGAATCGGTCCCGTAGCCTACAAACTTTGTTTACCTCAAGAACTTAGCAACATCCACCCTGTCTTCCACATCTCAAATCTTAAGAAGTGCTTATTCAATGAAACCCTTGTAATCCCTCTTGATGAGATCGAAATCAAGGAGAACCTGAACTTCGTGGAAGAACTAGTCAAAATCATGGATAGAGAGATCAAACGAACGAAACAAATTTGCATCCCGATAGTGAAGGTTCGTTGGAATGCCAAGCGAGGACCCGAATTCACTTGTGAGCGCGAAGATTAGATGAAACGGAAGTATCCGCATCTCTTTCCAAATCCATGATTTGTATTCTATGTTCGAATTTCAGGAAAAAATTCCCTCTAACGGGGGGATGATGTGACAACCCGAAATTTCTTCCCTTATTTTTAACCTACCTCTGTTAATAAAATTTAATTTTATTAAATTTTTCGTCAACTTCTTGGATTAAGTAAATTAACTAGGATTATTGTTATAATTACATATGTGTCAGAAAACCAAAAAATTACGCAAAAAACTCACGATTCCCTAGAAAACGACGAGTTCACATCCAAGGCGAGTTTATGGCTATAAACTCGTGTATGGCCGTAAATTCTGTTTATGGTGGGTGCCAGGTGGACCGCACCACCGACCATACCCCTGACCTATAAATACAAGACCCCCACCCTCATTTCAACCTTTTTGGCCGGAAACACCAACTTTCTCTCTCTAAACCTCTTGACCGTAAACTCCTTAAAGCCTCCTTTCACCCAAAAAAACATAGGAAATTGTCATTTGGGGCCATTTAGGAGGCTCTAGAACACTTTTTAGTCGAAAACTAGCACTCGTGTTCTTGAGTTTACAGTCGTAATCTCCTAGATCTTCAAAACCTGTAAACCTAGTTCACGGCCGTAAACCTTGTTCATGGCCAAAAACTCCATATACAGCCATAAACAGCTCTTTCGTGGCGAAAAGACTTTTTTTCCCGATTCACTGAAGTCCCGGTAACATTCCTTAACCAAAACCAAGTGTTTATCTAACACTTTATCTAACGAAATCGCTAATTTAGATACATATATGTATTTATTTGATATTAGGATTCCGTTAAGTGACAAGTGCATTGACTCAAGGTTCTTCCGATTCAATCCTTTACGACCAACTGTGAGTTCATACCCATATGCTTTTATAGTTTTTAAAACGCTTTCAGGGGGAATACTGATGAGATTTGTAATCGAGTTTGAATCAAATTCAAGTATGAATTCAAGAAGAGTAATAACGATGAATACGAGAGTAAATATAATATTTGTTCAGCTCGTATTATGCTTTTGAGTTTACAAATTACAATCAATAAACTGTAAAGACTGAGTGAAATGTTATCTGTAATCACTTAGTACGGACCCCTATATATAGGAGAACAAAAGCATAACAATACTACGGACTAGACATTAAGACTACTCTTTATAATGCCTTAGTACAAATAACATTACATCCGAAGACTCCTTCTAACAAAGACAAAATATACTTCGTAACAATCTAACTGACTCTTCGACTATTACAATATTTAAGCCCTAACAATCTCCCCCTTTGGAATCAAGGTCGAAGTCTTCAAGTCGTCAGTGATTGAAGGACATACAACATCACTCTTCGGATCTCCATGTACCAAGAGATAACTTTCTTTATCTCTTTCTTATCTCCTTCCAAGTTCTTCTTGCAGTGGTTCATATGAACAATCAAGTTCGTATATTGTGAGTTGGTGTATCTCTCCACTTTGCAAGTTTGAAATAAGAACCGCTTAGCTCTTCCAGCTTTGTCTTTTCCTGCAAAAACGATCCCCAATGGCTTTAAACAAATTTCTCCATCTTCGTATTTTTTCAACTCATTCTGCTTCTTCGATGGCGCCATTGGTGCAGTAATGTCGATGCCTTTGACAATTGCGAGTTCGACATCAATCTGGGCTAAGCACTCAAAATAATTCTAAAAAATATCTTATTGTGCTTGCACCCAAGGCTAAAAACATCTGGTTCTGTGTCTTGGAGAAAAGAAAATGATTTGTCTTTGAGCATCAAGGCAATGTTGATTAGATCATATGTTTTCATCAAAGGAAAGTCTGCCACTGTGAATTCTTGTAACTTCCTACTTGCTCTTGTTACAGTGTACTTCAAATTTTCAAACTTCCCTTCGAATATGACATCCCTTTTTATAGATATCACCTTTTTAATTTTCTCCAAAAACCATACTTCCTCTTGAGCCTTCGCCAATACTGCATGAAACCTTATCTTCATCTTCTTTCCCTGTTCGGTTTCCATTGATTTTGTTTCAGTCTTGAACTGTGGCATAACGAACATCATTTCATTGACTGGAAAGTCAAGTTGACCAAAGTCTGTGTTCGTAACCACATAGCTCTTTTTCAGAACATTTTTGAATGAGTACATATAATCAAACATCACTCTGGACTCGATGGTTTCGTAGTTATAAACTTTTGTTGGATCACCCTTATCAACATTCGAACCATCCAGAGCTCTTTGTCTCATTATGCTCTGTACATGCCTCATTCTTTCCACCTTAGCTGCCACCTCAGCTTTCTTCTCTTGTTTAGTCTTCTCAACCAAAATTCCTTTTCCCTTGTCTTCGACGCTTGACAAAACCATTTTTCCGGATGAAGAAACATCAGCTTGCTTCCCAATCACAACACCTTTTGAACTTGGTTTTGGAAGTGGAATTGTTGTGATCACAGTCGAAGTAACTGGACCTGCTGGAATAACACTTGGTTTTGTCACCACCTTCGAAGGATAAAGTTTTCCAACTACCTTAGCATATTTAGTTGTCTTCATTTGTTCCCCATACTTCGATTGATCAATCTTTTCTCCCCCTTGCACCCCTGTGAAAGCAGGTGGGGCATCTGTAACATTTGGTAGAAGGCTGGAAATGCGAAGAAGTGGAGCTAAGTTTTTGTGTAGGATGGCTTCGAAGTGAGAAATTTTTTGAGAAAGAAATTCTTGAGAAACGATTGGAGAGACAGACTTCGAAGACAAGTCTTGGAGTTCTTTCAACAACCTGACCAACTCTCCAAAATTTTGTTCTTCTTTGGATGAAAGAGTGGTCAGTTGAGGATTCATCTGCTCATACAATTTTACACATTTTGCAACAGCGTCACAAATAATGTCAATCTTCTGATTTGCTGATGCATAATCTTGTTGAACAGTTTGAACCTCCTTCATCATATCTTCACGAAGTTCTCGGATCTTCAAGTTAACATCTTCACGTACCTTCTTGACTTCTTGTACGAAGAGAACATGACGCTCCTTCGTAACAATCTTTAGATCCTTTAATTCCGTCACAAAATCAGATCTCAGAGAATTGATTCGATTCTCTGTAGAAATATCATTCTTATCAACCTTCTCAAGAACTCGACTCTCCAAATCCCTAATCAACCCTGATGCCTTCGAAATCACCCTTCCTTCCATCACCTTCATTAATGAATCAACTTTCATGCTTGTAACTCCACCACTGCCCACATCTGCTTGGGATTGCAAGATAGAATTCAATTTCAAATTCAAAATCTTAAACTGCTTCATGGTCATCAACATGTGGCTAGGGAAATCTTCTTCGGCTTGATCAAAATGAAGAGCTTTGAACATTCCTCCAAATCCTTCATTATCGGTTTCAACATCAGCAGCCACAATTTCATTAATAGGTGAGGATGGATGGGGTGGATTAGTTGATTGAGTTGAGAATATGGTGGTGAATGGTTGATCCATAATAAATTGAAATGTGGGAGAATCAGTTGTGGATGTAACCTGGGGTAGTGAACTTATTTCAAGAGGCTTCGAAACAGCAGCCTTCGATAGACCAACAGGCGGACTGGTCTTCGCTTCTTCTTGAAGTATAATTTCTAGTGTCTCATGAACTTGCTCAACTTCTTCAAGTCTTTGATTCTTCTTCAAAAATTTTGCAAGATCTTCAGCCCTTCATTTCTTAGATGATGGAGACACCGGAGCTGGAATTTCCCGAACTGTGACCCCTTGATGTGTGACTTGTGTTTTCTTCATCAGCTGAGACTTTCTCTTTATTTTGATACATCGAAAAACACCCGTCTTCGAAGGAATCATTTCTGTCAATGGAGACGCTTCGATTATTGGTGTATCAACCACTGAGGTTAAAATTGGAGATACCTCTTCGACAGTATCAGCTGTAACCACTGGAATTTTCTTCTTCTTTTCTGCCTTCACCACTTTTTCCGAAGACCCACCATCTGTCTTCTTCGATTTCTTAGGCTTTTTCTTCTCTTCTTCATATAACACCATTGTAACAACAGTTGTGTCAATGGATTGAAAATATGACACCAAAACTTCATTCGTCGGATCCACCTTCTTGAGCATCGCATCCGGAATGCAAGCTATTGATGTAAAGATAGTCGGATCATCATTTACCTCCTTCGGACTACCATACATGTGAAATACCGCGTCTTCTTTGAACTCCAAAACTTCGATTTTCTCCTTGTGGTAACCATACTGTATTATCAGACTCCAATAACGAGCACAAGAAATCCCCGGCTTGGCACTCGTCTTTGAAATGCTAGTTAAGAACTCTGTCCACAATTGTTTAGAGTAATCCACTTGCAGATTATAATACAATCCAGCAACCATTGCATATACCTCCATCCTTCCTTTATCAAGACCCATGGTTCTTCCAGTAAGACATCGAAGGAGAACGCCAAATAAAAAATTCCATACGGTAGGTAATCCAGACTTCTTGAAGTCACTGATACGCGTCAAAGGAGGTTGATGGCCCATCTCGTTGACCATGAATACTACTTGAGAAGAAGAAACTTCATCATAAGGACCAGAATTTGGAATCCCCAAAATTTTGCAAAACAAACGCTTGGACACCCTAATACGCTTATCATTCACCAATGTGAATTCCACACAACCTGCCTCCTTGTTGTATGATGCAGTGGAACTCGCCTTTGATAACCAAGACATTGGAACAACAAAAGAATCGAACATTGCTTTAGACAGAACTGAATTCTGTAAAGCAACCACCAGCATTTGGAGTTCCTCCGGATATTTTGACAAATCAGATTCCACTTGGTAGTTTGAACCCTGGATTTTCAGAATCGGAACGCTAACAACTTCGTATGTGGTTGGTGATGATGTAGTCGCCATTGTTGAAGATAATGTAACACTCAATTTTTCAAACAAAATTTTCGATTTTATAAAAACATAGTTCCATCAATATTCATAAAAACAACCCCTTTTAAATTGTTCAACAATACATTGCAAAATCCCAAGATCAAAATGTCAAGCTCCAAACGTGTGTGTACGGATCAAGCCGGCGCCTTCCCACGGTCGTCACTAGTACCTGAAACAATAACATCAACACTGTAAGCACAAGGCTTAGTGAGTTTCCCAAAATACTACATGTAACACATATTAGCCACTCGAGGCTATAACTCTGTGGGTCCGTGCACCCAACTCTGTGAACCCTCAGGTTCTAACTCTGTGAACCTTCCGGTTCTAGCTCTGTAAACATGCACAGCATCAAACACATAAAAGTAATGCAGTACAACACATAACATACATCGCATACAAATATTCTATCACATAACTCTGGTTACCTACTCAAGGTAAAGTATAGTGAGAAGACTCACCTCGTGTGTCTCGGTAAACCGTAACCCTGAAATTGCTAAACACTCGATCTGCCGAGCTGAAGTCCCCCCTATAGCACAATATATCTCTAATTAACACTTTCCCAACTAGGGTTAACCATACCATAACAGGACAATCTAGGTCAACGCTGGTCAACGGTCAACTTGACCGGACTCGGCGAGTGCACTATAGCGACTCGGCGAGTCTGAGCGAAATCACCAATTTCCCTGAAACTCTCTCTTGACACGTCGAGCATCCCTTCCCAACTCGACGAGCTCCACCTGGCACGAGTTGTGGGGCCACCACGACTCAACTCGCCGAGTCTCCAGAACGACTCGGCGAGTCCGGTTTGACTCGGTCCACCTGTCCATCCTGACTCCCCCTTGACCCACTGGGTTCACTCATCCCAACTCGGCGAGGCCACTCGCTGAGTGGTCGTGTAACATTCAAGCTACTCGCCGAGTCTGTTCTTCGGACTCGGCGAGTCCATGCCATGCACTAACTCAATCTTGCTCTAAAGGCCAGATCCAGTCCACTAATCCATAGATCCAGTCCCCCCATGCTTACTTAGCACGTAAAGTCCCAGTCTTGATGCATGAATAACCTCTACATGATCACAAATGATGATTTTGACTCTATTACTTCAACACAAGGCCAAGGACTCCATTTTTACCCATAAAGCTTGATGAGTGAGGCCCCCTGGACCTCTATGGATCCAGATCCATGGTCTCAACTCAAAGAGGGAACAAAAAGGGCACCAAATCACCCCATAAATGATCATATTTAACCCTAACTTGCATCAAGTTCACCAAACAGGAAATGGTCCGAAATATTACCTCTAAAGTGATGATCCAAGCTCCAAATCCACGAAATGGCAACCTCCTTTGCCTCCTTTTGCCTAGAGCCTCCTTCTTCTTGCTAAACAACACTCACAAGGTCAAGATTTGCTCTCAATCCTTCACCAAACGCTCAAGAACTCTAGGGACACACTCTGGGGGTTGGATGAGCGCAAATGACGGCCATAAGGCCCCTTAAATAGGCCACAAACCCGGGGATTTAGGGTTTCTTAACACAGCGCAGACTCGCCGAGTCCATGCCCTGGACTCGCCGAGTCCAAGCGCGCACCTTCGCTCAAACCCGCGTCCCTACTCGGCGAGTCTGAGCCCTGACTCGCCGAGTCCCTCTTACAAAACAACACAATTAAACTTACATTATACCTGGTAAAAATCCGGATGTTACAATTCTCCCCCACTAGAACTGGACTTCGCCCTCGAAGTCTCGCTCTAAAACAGCTCCGGATGCTGCTCCCGCATCATATCCTCCGGCTCCCAGGTCATCTCTGATCCCTTCCGATGTTGCCACTGAACCAGTACCAGAGGTACCTCCTTGTTCCTCAAAACCTTGATCTTCCGATCCCTAATAGCCACTGGTCTCTCCGCATAATTCAGGCTCGCATCAACCTGAATATCCTCAAGTGGAACCACTGCCGACTCATCGGCTATACATTTCCTCAACTGCGATACATGAAAAGTGTTGTGAATCTGCCCCAACTCTGCTGGCAACTCCAGTCGATAGGCTACCCGGCCTACCCTGGCAATCACACGAAACGGGCCTATAAACCGGGGCCCCAATTTGCCCCTCTTCCTGAACCGGATCACTCCTTTCCAAGGAGAGACCTTCAGGAGAACAAAGTCGCCGACCTGAAATTCCAGCTTGGACCGGCGTCTATCCGCGTAACTCTTCTGTCGGCTCTGAGCGGTCAATAACCTCTGCCTGACCAGCTGTATCTGCTCTGACGTCTGATTCACGATCTCTGTACTGCCCATTACCCTTTGCCCAACCTCTCCCCAACATATGGGAGTCCGACACCTCCTACCATATAACAGCTCAAAAGGTGGCATACCAATGCTCGAATGATAGCTGTTATTGTAGGAAAACTCCGCCAAAGGCAAATACGTGTCCCAACTACCCCCAAAGTCCAGAACACAAGCTCGAAGCATGTCCTCGAGTGTCTGTATCGTCCGCTCACTCTGACCGTCGGTCTGGGGGTGGTATGCGGTACTAAAATGCAGCTTAGTACCCAACTCCTCATGAAATTTCTTCCAAAAACGGGAAGTGAACCGCACATCGCGGTCTGAAACAATCGAGATCGGCACCCCATGCCGAGATACAACCTCCCTCACGTAAACCTCCGCCAACTTCTCCGCTGAAGAACTCTCACTGATGGCAAGAAAGTGAGCGCTCTTTGTCAACCTATCCACGATCACCCAAATTGCATCAACTCCTCTGGCAGTCCTCGGCAATTTGGTGATAAAGTCCATAGTGATCTGTTCCCACTTCCACTCGGGAACCTCCAATGGCTGCAACTTGCCATGCGGTCTCTGGTGTTCGGCCTTTACCCTTCGACAGGTCAAACACCTCTCGACAAACCATGCTACATCCCTCTTCATACAGGGCCACCAATACTCCTTCCTTAGGTCCAAATACATCTTCGTGGCCCCGGGGTGGATCGAAAATTTCGATCTATGAGCCTCCTCCATCAATGTAGCACGTGTACCGCCCACAAACGGTACCCAGATCCTGCCCTGATAAGTCATAAGGCCTCGACCATCCGATACAAACTCAGAAACCAACCCAGCAACCCGCTCTCTCTTCTGCATCTCCGGACGCACGGCCTCGGCCTGAGCCCCACGAATGGCGTCCAGAACTGGAGCTATCACGGTCAATCTCAAACATACATCTCGCAGGGGAGTGCTCTCCGCCCTGCGGCTCAACGCGTCGGCTACCACATTAGCCTTGCCCGGGTGGTACAAGATCTCACAATCATAGTCCTTGACCACATCTAACCATCTCCTCTGCCGCATATTTAGGTTAGGCTGATCCATCAAGTACTTCAAACTCTTATGGTCCGTGTAAATCGTACATCGAACCCCATACAAGTAGTGCCGCCAAATCTTGAGGGCGAACACCACTGCCCCCAATTCCAAATCATGAGTGGGGTACCTCGTCTCGTGAGGCTTCAACTGCCTTGATGCATAAGCTATCACATGACCCTTCTGCATCAATACCGCTCCCAATCCTAGGATCGACGCATCACAGAATACCACAAAACCTTCCATGCCTTCCGGAAGGGCTAATACTGGAGCTTCACACAACCTTTGGCGAAGCGTCTCAAAGGAGGTCTGCTGCTCGGGACCCCATGCAAATGCCACGCCCTTCCGGGTCAATCTGGTGAGTGGAACCGCAATCTTGGAGAAATCCTTAATAAATCTCCGATAATACCCTGCCAACCCGAGAAAACTCCGTATCTCAGAAGGTGACCTCGGCACCTCCCACCTCATCACTGCGTCAACCTTGGCCGGATCGACCAATATCCCCTTCTGGTTAACGAGATGTCCCAGAAACTGGACCTCCCGTAACCAGAAATCGCACTTGGAGAACTTTGCGTAAAGCTTCTCCGCTCTCAAAACCCCAAGCACCTCCCTCAGATGCTCCTCGTGCTGCTCACTAGATCTCGAATATACCAGAATATCATCAATGAAAACAATCACCGACCGATCCAACATCGGCCGACATACCCTGTTCATGAGGTCCATGAACACAGCCGGGGCATTAGTGAGCCCGAAAGGCATCACCACAAACTCATAATGCCCATA